GGCCGGTCCTCCGGGCCCGCCTTCCCCGGCGGCCCGCCCCCTGCACCCTTCTCCGGGGCGGTGGGGTTCGGCGTCCCCCCATTGGAACGTGCTTTTGGAAACAGGTCTCCGGCGACGTCTCTCCGCTGACCGTCAGCATCCCAGCGAGGGTCCCCAGCCCCATCCGCACCTACCTCAGGACCAGACCACCTCTCGGCCCCCCACCTGCCCGCCGCCCCACGCGGTCAGCAGCCCGAGCCTCGATTTCCCCTTCCCCATTGTCCGCCCCGGACCCCTGGCCCTGTCGCCACTCCTCTGTCTACGGGCCACCCCACCATGCACCCCGGGCGTGACCACTCCTGCAGGCTGAGGCAGAGCGGCTGCACTGGGTACCCCACGGGCCCGGACCCAGGGCACCGCTGCGCCCACCCGCGCCCGGGCCGGTGCCGCGGTCGCCTTGCAGACACTCCGCATGTCGCGCTCAGCTAGCGGGCGGGAGGCCCGGTTGCCCCACTTCCCTCTTCGCGGCGTCCCCGGCCCCCACTGCGCTCCTGGCCCGCCCGCTGACATCCCGGCTCACCTCTAGCTGGGGAAGGGCGCCCCTCACCCGGCCCAGGCGGGGGCGGCCGGGCCGTGGGTCCGAGCCCGCAGCGCCCCCCGCCCCGGCCTCGGGTTCCAGCAGCGGCCCCCTCCCAGGGCGCAGCGCCGGCCCATGGCCCCGACCTTCCTCCAGCCCGCGCGCCGGCGCCCCTGCCGTCGCCGCCCCAGCGCCCGCCGCGTCACTGCGGCCGCCCCACCCCCTTCCTGGGCTTGCAGGCCCTCCCCACGATGGCGGAGGGCTGGCCCCCGCCTTCCTTCCCCACAGCAGGCAGCGCGGAAGAGGCGCTCCGCCAAGCGCTGGCGCTCCTTACTTCCTAGGTGCTGGTTGGGGCCCCCAAGGCACTCCTGTTCCCGCTCCACCCTGGCCCAGCCCTCCCGTGGAAACGAAGGGGTGGGGTTTGCTGAGGCCGAGTACTGTGCCCCTGGTCCCCAGTCCCTCACCCTCTGCAGCCCCAGGAACTTGTAGCTCAAGGCAGGGGAAGTGCCTCCCTCTCCGACTCTGGCCAGAGTTGTGGAAGCTGACTTGTCTCTACCTGGGGGTTGGGGATCACTCAGCTATAAGGGCAGGCAGCCTGCTGTCATTCCAAACTCTTGGGCCCCTTAATGGCGTCCCAAGCAAGGCCTTCTTCTCCTATATCTTCCGGGTCCACAAGTCTGGCCACTTAGCCACCAGACCCTGGGCAAAGGCCAAGACACCCGCAGGCAGGTGTGCAGGCCGACTCACAGGGCCCCGCCCAGACCGCCGGAGGGTACTGGGGCCGGGGATGGTAACACCAAGCTGGGTCTCCCCCTAGCTGGATGCCAGGCCTCTCTCCTTGACCCTAATCCAGGGGGTTAGTGGGACTGGGGGAGTGCCTTTCTCCTGAGTCTGAGCTGGGGTGTAGTCAGAGCCCCCCAGGGCACATTCAGAGCAGAGGATGTTGTTAAGGCCCTAAGGCACGTGAGGGAGTGGCTGAAGTGAACTGGCCACCCAGCCAGACATCACCTACAAAGCAGCCGAACAGCCTTCTAAGCCCAGGCTGACAGCAGTGCCCTCTAGCGGGCAGCCGGGGCCCTGTGCTGCCCCCTGGTGGCACCGCAAAGAGGCGTGCAGGACTCTTAGCTCCTGCAACCTCTCCCACCACCTACAGATGGAAGGCTAAGGGATTGAGCCGGTGGGCCCACCCAAGGGGCATGGGACAGAAGCCAGGCCAGGCCAGTCAGTCTCTACCTCATCCCACTCCACCTCCCTGCCCCACCCTTTGCCCCTTCCTGAATCTCCTCTTTCTGTCTGGCCCACCCAGCCTTAGCCCAAGAATCAGACCAGCTCAGGGCTGAGAGAACAAACTTCAAATCATCTTTATTTTATACAAAAAGGGCATATTTAGCAAAAGACACACTGAGAAAAGAATTGTTATGGCCCAGGAGACAAGGCAGGGAGGTGACAGGCCTTCCGAGGCCTGCTGGGGTACAGGGGAGCCTGGAACAGAGCAGTCAGTAATGCTGGGTAAATGCAGGTGGTGGGGGCCACAGCAAGGAGGAAGTTCCAGTTGGATCAACACTGTTGGCAGGTCGCGGGTGCAACTCACAGCGACCTCGCCGATAACTACCGCGGAGGGCCCCAGTTAGTGCTGCCGACCAGAGTGGGATGTGCCCCTGGTTTCTGGAGGTGCCCAGCAAGGGACACAGGACAGGAGGCCCAGGATGGGAAGTGCGAGTTGGGGTGAAGACCAGGGAGAAGCAGGCGCTCAGCAGTGGCTGGGAAGTCCAGACGCTGAGACGTGGGAACTTCCTGTTACGTGCGGGCGTTCCGCTCTGTCTCGGCCAGGCACTCTCTCACTAGCGCCCGGGCATGGATGATGCCTGGTGTGGGCGAAGGAAGGAACATACAACCCTATGCATAGCACAACGAAACGCCCCTCCACAGCCCAGCCCACCCTCCAGAGGAAGATCTCACCCCCCCACCACCGCTCTCTTTCCTTCCAGTAGTTCTTGTGCCCTTGAGTCAATTCCAACTCATAGTGACCCCCCGTGACAGAGAAGCACTGCCTCATAGTTTTCTAGGCTGTATAATCTTTAGGGAGTATTCGTAAAGTTTTCCAGTAATATATCAGATAGCATTTCACTGCTATTCGTAAGGTTTTCACTGGCCAATTCTTTGAGAAGTGGAACGCCCCTTCCTTCTTCCTGTGGCTGGAAGGGTCAACAAAAAAGGGGAAGGCCCCCAACGAGATGGAGTGACACAGTGGCTGCAATATGGGCTCTGGTACAGCAAGGATTGTGGGGCTGGCACTGGACCGGGCAGTGTTTCGTTCTGCTGTGCACAGGGTCGCTATGAGTTGGAGCCGCCTTGACAGCACCCAACAACAACAACAACAACAACGATCTTTTCGGGAGTAGATCACCAATACAAGGGATTAAAAAATCTCCAAAGAGCCCACATGAGATGGTAGGCTTGGCTAATCCTCAAATTCACCTTAAAATGCCAACACCTGGGCACGGTCTCAACTTAAATTGAATTCAAACGCCTCTCTGGGTAGTGACACTGGCTCGAGGTCTCAGCTCTGCTCAGATGGCCTCCAGATGGCCTTCATTCCCTAAGGATGACGTAGGTAGTCCAGTGTCTGTCTCCGGGACAACGTGGGCCTGGGCTTACCTCTCTTCAGACGCTCCATGGCACTCTTGCTTCCAGCGTAGGTGGGTCGGATCTCTTTGCCCATCTCCTCTATGACCGACAACAGGTCGGTGTAGGTACTCTGGGAGCCCTGGGCTCCGGGTGGCTTCATTGCCTAAACCAAAGAGAACAGAGCCGTCAGGTCAGGGCCCGGGAGGGCTGCCGGCCCTCAGCCTTAAGCAGTCCGTCCCACTCACCTGCACATAGCCCATGGAGGGCGGTCCAAAGTCGTTAAACAGTGGCCTGAACGGGGCAGCGGCTCCCGGCACCGAGCCTGACGGCGACGGGACACTTCCGGCTGCAACAGGCGCGAGGAAGAAGTCAACACCGGGCAGAGACGCCTCCGCCCAGCGCTCCAAGCCCCCGGCAGGGTTTGTCCGATTCCCTCCAAAGGGATGCTTCATTCCAGGCTGGTCAACTTCAGAGACAAACCCCTCCCCCTGCGCCCCACCTACAAGCCCTTACGTCACCACGCCCACTTCGCAGGCCAGGAAACTGAGGCTCCAGGAAGGTAGGCGGCAGGCCCAGTACTGCAGAACTCAGGCCGTCTTCTCTTGGAGACCTCGAGCGCCCGGGGAGGCGAGCAAGGGTGGAGCTGGGTCCTCACCTGTAGGGACCGGGGTGCCAGGCCCAGGGGTACTGGAGCCGGGAGTGCTGCTGGGGGCGGGGGCGATGGGCTTGTAGGACATCCCCGGCTCCTGGGTGCGGGCGGACGCCGGCCGGCCGCTGCTCCGGGGTTGGCTGCTGGCCGCTCAGCCGCGCGCTGATTGGCAAGCGGGCTGCACGCCCCTGGTAAATAGAGCGCTGGCCGGAAGGGCGGGCGGGGACGAAAGCTCTCTTACTCCCGATTGGCGCGCCGGGATGTCACTCGAGGCTCCTCATTTGCCGAGGCCCGCCCCAGAAGGCCGCAACCGCTGTTGATTGGCTTCCGTCTTCCGGACCTCGCACCTGTCTGCTCCGGATTGGGTGGCGGCCGAGGCTCTCCGCAATTGGCGAGTTCGCGGACCCGGCCGGCGCGCTCTCAATCGGATTAGTCCCGGGGCTCCTGGGAGGAGCCTCGGAACCCGGACCTGGGTTTGGGCCGCCGCAGATCACGCTGAGGGTTCTTCCCGGCGCAGTCCTCGCGCTTTACTCGTGCTGCTTCGCGCTTCAGCTCCGCTTGGCTCGGCCCAGCTTGGCTCGGCTGGGGCTGCGGTCGCTGCGGTTGCCGACGCCGAGCGCGCCTCCTGCTCTCCGGATGCCGAGGGACGCAGGGCTTTGACGTTCCGAGCCCTGCGCCCCACCCCGTGCGATTTTACGTCACCTTTCCCCGGATCATTACCCTCTCTCGGATGTGCGCATGCACTTGCCTAAAGCCTTGGTTCGTTGCCATGGTAATGGGTCCAGTACCGACGCCACCGCCCGAGGCTCTTCCTCGGGATTGGCCAGTCCCGGGGTCAAGGCTGGTGTTAGATCCAGGACAACTTCACAGTCCCTTCAACCCACACGCACGGGGCTCCACGCCTCTGCTTCAGGTAACAACAGCAGACCTTGGTTGAATACTTGCTGCACGCGCTATGCCTGTGGTATTAAGGGGATCACAGACGACAGCACCTCTTGGAGTCAAGACTGCCTGGATTCAAATCTCAACACCACCCATTTCATCTCAGTATTTCCCCATCTGTAGAATAACTGCCTCATAGGGTTATGTTGTGTGGATTAAGTGAATATACACAAAGTGCTTGTTGCTTCGTTTCCCTCATTCTTATCTTGCTCTAGTGCCTCAAAGCTCTCATTCCTTTACCCGTCAAATCTCATTTCTCAGGACCCTACTCCTGCATTACCCCTTTCCCCAGCTCCCTTTCCAGGTAGAGAGACTGGTCCATGCAAAGGCTTGGCAGTGTGAGAGCACACGTGATTGGGGAACAGCAGGTCAGTTTTCCACCGGAGCATTCATTTAAAATTGGGGAAGGGCAGTAGGGAGAATAGGGGCAAGGGAAGAACCTGTGTGGCAAACATATAAGGAACCGGAGCTACCCGCACGCAGCGTTCCCCTCACTTCAACCCTTCATGCCACTTCTTTCTTTCTTTCTTTTTTTTTTTTTAATTGTGATTTGGGTGAAAATTTACAGAGCAAATTCACTTTCCATACAGCAATTCACACACACGTTGTCTCATGACGTTGATTACAATCTCCCACAATGCAACAGCTCCCCTCCTACTTCCTCCCCATAGTTACCTCTTCCCTGTGTCCTTCCCTCCATGCACTCCTGCCCCCTGAGCTGTCTCCCTGTGCATACACAGCCCTTCTTTCTCCCATGATTGTTCTCTCCAAGGAGTGTATCTACCTCAGGTAAATGTTCAGCTTATATGCCTGTCTTTTGTTTGGCTGGAAGCCACAGGTGTGGGTTCAATTCCAGACCTGAAGGTCAGCTAGGGGCCATAGTCTCAGTGGTTCCACCAGTCCCCGACCCTCTTTTCTTTTCCCCCAAATGATTTTGAGTTTTGTTCCACATTGTTCTCCCTCTCCATCCAGGATCTCCCACATAGATCCCTCCTGAGAGTGGTTGACAGTGGTAGCCAGGCACCATCTAGTTTTTCTGGTTTGATAGTCGTATAGGCTGAGGATCACATGGTGTACCAGTTGCTAGGACTAATTGTTCCCATGAATTTTTGGTTTTCTTCATTCTTTGCTCTGGATGAGAAGAGACCCATCATTGCATCTAGATGGCTGCCTGCAAACTTTTAAGATCCCAGTCGCTACTCCCCAAAGTAGGAGGTGGAACAATGTTTTGTGTAGTATGTTATGCCAATTGAGCTTGATGTCCCCTGCGACTATGGTCCCGAGCCCACAGGTTCAACTACTCAGTCCTGGGTAGCTGGCTGTGACCAAGAAGTGACTACAACCTTGTCCCTTGTCAGCTCTACTATAAACCTGGGAATTCTTACAGAACATACAGGTACACCTGTAGAACCATTGTCTGCCAATATGATCTTGAGTACACTCCCTGCTGCATAGACTTACCTAATAGTTCAGCCGGTCCACCCATCTATCCACCCATATACCCATGTTTTCCTTCACTGACAACGCAGTAGTGTATGTGCCAAAGGGTTCATCTTTGTTGTCTGCGCCTCCCATGTACCTCTCTATATCTTCCTCTTCCTCAGTGCCACCATGTTGATCACTCACATTTGGTATACTTATTCAATCTTCATACTGGGTAAATAATCCAAGAAGCTGGACTCTATGCAGAAGAATGTGATATAAGGAGTGGAGGAAGATTCATTAACAACCTGTGATAGGCAGATAACACAATCTCTTTTGCCAGAAGTGAAGAAGACTTGCAGCACTTAAGAAGTGCAAAGACAGTATGGATTACACCTCCACATAAAACAAAAATTCTCACAACTGAACCAATAAGCAACATCATAAAATGAGAAAACATTGAAGTTGTCAGTGGTTTTATTTTTACTTGGATCCACAATCAACGCCCATGGAAGTAGCAGCCAGGAAATCAAATGATACATTGCACTGGGCAAATCAGCTGCAAATGATCTCTTTAAAGTGTTAAAAAAGCAAAGTCGTCACCTTGAGGACTAACGTGTGCCTAATGCAAGCCATGGTATTTCCAGTTGCCCCATATGCATGGGAAAGCTGGACAGTGAATCAGGAAGACCATAGAAGAATTGATGCCTTTGAATTAAGGTGCTGGGGAAGAATACTGCCTACACCAGGGGCTGCCAGAAGAAACCGACCTGTGTTGGAGGAAGTACAGCCAGGATGATCCTTGGAGAAAGGATGGTGAGGCTTCATCTCATGTGCTTCGGGCATGTTACCAGGAGGGGCCGGTCCCTGGGGAAAGAATGTCATGCTTGGAAAAGTGGAGAGTCAACAGAAAAGAGAAAGGTTCTCAATGAGATGGATTGATACCATGGCTGCTATGATAGGCTCAAGCATAAGCAATCATTGTGAGTTGGCACAGGCCTGGGCAGTGTTTTGTTCTGTTCACACGGTCGCTGTGTGCAGTGAATTGCTTGGTATGGTCCTTCTAGCCATGGTCTTTGTGGCTCCCACCAGATGACTGAGTGGCACTATGCATATGTGAGGTGCTTGTGGCCCACCAAGGGGATTGGATAGCTTGCTAATAATGTAAATAAGGTGCATGGCACACTTACGGGGGTGGACCATGCAAATAAGGTGTAGGGAACCCTAACATGAGGGTTGGTCAGTTTTTCCGTCTTGCTAAGCTTAAAAGAGCCACCCCAGAGGTGGAGAGGGGGATCTCACTACCATCAAGAGAGAAGAGCCCAGAGTAGAGCATGTCCTTTGGACCTGAGATCTCTGCACTGAATCTCCTTGACCCAGAAGACAGGGAGCTGGGGCACTTTGCTGGGACGGTGAGAAGGAATGGCAGAGAAATAGCAGCAGCAGAGGCAGGACCAGGGCAACCACACAAGACAGTGGGCTTCCTGGCTGGTGGAGCGAGAAAGCTGAGTGCTTTTGCACTGAGGCTTACTGGTGGACTAGGATGCCTCTAGGCATTTATCAGCTGAGCTAAAGAGCTTTGTGACACTTGCCTGAGTGGGGCACAGGCAAGGCTGAGGGCTCGAGGGTCCGAGACAGACCTGCCTTCGGGTGTGACTGAGGAGAGAGGAGGCTGTCCTGGTAATGTTCCTGATCCTAAATTGTAACCTGTCACTTCCCTAATAAACCCCATAATTGTGAATATCGTCTGTGAATTCCTTGTGGCCATTACAGTGGATTATTGAACCCAATAGAGAAGTAGAGAATGCTGTAGGAGGGGTTTTTGGTATCAGATCTGGTAACTGGAGGATGGCAGCATGTCTGACCTCTGCCTTGTAGGAATCAGCCTTGGGCTGCTGATGCTAATGGTGATCATCTTTCCCTGTGGTGAAACTGGAGGAGGTCAGATGCTGTTGCCACACCCTTTTTACAGTCACTGTGAGTCAGAGTGGACTTGATGGTACCTAACAACAACAAGAAGAATTCAAAATAATTTGTATAGATAAGCTGCCCTCAAGGAGCATGTGATAGTGCTATGTGTTAACTTGGCCAGGGTATGATTCTCAGTGGTTTGGCAAACACTATGTAATCATCTTCCATTTTGTGATCTGATGTGAGCAGCCAATCAGTTGAAAGGGGAGTTTCCTTGGGGGTGGGTCCTGCCTGCAGTATATAAATGGATGTTCTGGCAAAACTCTCTCTCTTTTGATCCTGCACTCTTCTCTTCGCTTGACCTCCAGTTCTTGGGAAGTGAGAAGCCTTTAGCCTGCCATCCAACTCACAGATTTGGGACTTGGCAGCTACCACAATTGCATGAGTCATTTTCTCACAAATGCATGAGCCATTTCCTTGAAGTATATTTTTGTCCATGTACACTTCACTGGCTTTACTCCTCTAGGGAACTGAGAGTAAGACAGAGAATAACTCCTCCCTCCTTACGTGTGGGCTGTGCACAGTGACTTTCTTCCAAAGGGTATAGTATGGAAAGGGAGAGAAAGAGGCATAACTTTACCCTGGAGAAATTTGACCAACATTCCCTCAGCTGGTGATCAAGGTCAACATTGACAGTGATAGGTCACATTGACAGCATGTTCCCTTGTTGTAGTGTGTTGAGAAGAGCACTTTATGTCTGAGATCTTCCTCCCAAAGACATATTACCCCAGTCTAATAATGAGAATATATCAA